TGATTCAGATATAAACTATGGGCAGGGCAGGTGATAGGGTAACAGGATACATAACAAAGATGAAGCTCTTATCCAAGAAAAGATAGTTGCACCATCGGAGGAGGAATCATTTGACTGTAATGGTAACATGGATCTTCAGGTGCTTCCAGGTGAGAGGCCAAGTAGTTAGGGTCAAAGGAAGAAGAGAAAAGTGAGACAGTAGTAGGTAACATCCATGGGGGAGTAGGGAGTTGGGTTGACAGGGTAAGGGGGAAAAAGAGGTTATCTGATGAATAGAAAGGTTTTTCTGTCTTCTTAAGATTTGTAACTAGGACATGACAGAGAAACTACCAGGACTTGTCAAACCAGGTGATTAATAGCCACTCTGTTGACTTATGTGGGCATTAGTGATATTGACAAAGAACTCCTAAATAAATAAATAAATAAAAATTGCCGAGTCTTGGGCAAGAAACTAAAGAATGTATGGTAATAGTGTTTTATTCATTGCAATCAATTGACGGGAAAGACTTGAGAAAAGAAAGGAACATTTATTAAGTAAACAAGTAGCAAAAAAAAAAAATTGTGTCAGAATAGGATTTGGATTTCTTAATGATGGATTTAAATTAAAGCATGACAAGGTTTGGGCCGGGTAGCTAGGTGGTTCAGTGGATAGAGTGCTAGGCCTGAAATCAGGAAAACCTGAGTTCAAATCTGGCCTCAGATGGTTACTAGCTGTGCGATCTTCAGCAAGCCACTTAACCTCTGTTTGCCTTAATCCACTGGAGATGGAAATGGCAAACCACTCCAGTATCTTTGCCAAGAAAATGTCACAGAGAGCATTGGCGCACTATGGTCCACAAGCTCACAAAGAGTCAGGCATGACCAAATAACAACAATGCTTTTGGCCAGGGATGGAGCTCATTTAATAAGGACTAGTAGGAATTTATTTGCCTTGATTCTTGCAAAATCATTATTAGGCAGTATTAGTATACTATGAAATAGTATTTTTTATTCAGGTACATTTAGGTTTTGGGTAAGATGACCATTGCAGGTCCTAACAACTATGAGATTCTATGTCCATTTCTGACATGATTTGATTTTGGTTTTTGGATTTCTTACAGCAATGGATTCATGATCTCATTTGTATGGGTACTTTTCCTGTCAATCAGTTAGGCAACCAATCAATCAATAAGCATTTACTAAATGTCTACTATGAGCCAGGCACTGTGGTAAGCATATAATACACAAAGAAAAAACAAATATAGTTCCTCTCCTCAAGGATCTTGCCTTTTAATGTAGGCATATATTCATCACTACAAATAAGATAAACGAAGAGGAAGAATAATTTAGAGGGGATGGCACTCAGAGCTAGGGAAAGTGAGGCTTCCCACAAAAGGTGGTAGTTGGGCTATCTTAAAAGGAAGTTAGGGATTCTAACAGTTGGAGGTTGGGAGACAGACCTTTATAGGCATAAAAGATTGCCTTTGAAAAGGCATGGGGATAGGCTATGGAGTGTTATCACTGTGGAAACAGACTAAGACTTCAAAGTTTATTCTGGATAAAATAAAGGTTGTGAACCTGGGTGACTTGAAGGATAGTAGTAAGCTGGGAAGGTTTGTGGGAAAGATAATCAGTTCTGTTTTAGACAGTCTGAGTTTGAGATGTCTATGAGTCATACAGTTTAAAATGTCTGACAGACAGTTGGTGATGAGGGGCAGGAGAGACTTTGGACTAGACAAACAGATCTGGAATTCCGCTGCATAGAGATGATACCATTACAGACCACCTTCCCTATAGGCTTTCTCACCCTGAGTGATTTTTACTCAAATCATTCCATACAGCCTCCATAGCTGTTTTACTCAAAATGCTTGAGTATTTGAAGTATTACTTCAAAATGCTTGAAATATTTTTCCAGTCCCTTTAATACTTTGGGGAAAAGAGCACCTAGTTGTCCATTTGTTAACATTCCCTCTAATGTCATGACTGGACCACCTGTTTCTCTGGTGACACATATCCTTTATTGACATTTATCTTTCCTCACACTTAAGTCATCTTTAGTAATATGCTTGTCCAGGTTGCTATTCCTCATATGGTGCAATGGATCACTGAGGGCCGGTGGCCCGAGGTTGTTCAAACAAGCAATCCTTTTTACTAAAAACATATTCTAATACCCCTTGTAGAAGTAATTCCCATCCTGAAGATAAAAATAAATACACGGATTGGCCTGAGGGCAGAAAGGGGATCAGAAATAGTTTCTGGAGCATGAACTGCCTGTGAAGTGCTTCTTCCAGTAGTTCCTGGCTTTGGGAGATGAGTTATGTTTTATATCCTTTATTCTATTGGTTTTAAATTACAGGTTTTTAAAAATTTAAACATTAATTTTAATTGAATTTTTATGGTTCACAAGTGCTTCCTTTATTTTAAATATGAAAAACATTGAACTGACTGAAGTAGGTCAAATTTTAGGCTTTGTGTAGAACAGCGATACAGGCTACTTATACCCATCACGTGTTTTTCCATTGTTCTTTGGGGGACTGGTAATTTTCATATATCTGGAATGGTGATGTTTTATGATCTGTAGTATAGGAACAATGGTGTCAAACTCAAATAGAAATGGGGTCCACTAGCATGTGTATAAGGATCCCTTGTGGGCTGCCTATTGACTTAGTTTTAAAATGTGATATTAACTATGTTTTACTATATTTTCACTAATTTTGTTAAATATTTCCCAATTATATTTCAATCTGGATTGGACTGCACTCAGGAGTGTTGGTGACTATAATGAGTGTGTTTGCCCTCTCGAGCACAGAGAGCCCCTGGGAGAAGCTAGGTGTTGAAAGATGTTTTTGTATAGACTGCTACTGAGCCTTTTGAAATCCCAAATATAAGTTAGAATGATCTCTTCTTCCTATTTAATTCTCAGCCTAGTTTATTATCCACCTGGACTACCTAAAAAACATATACCAACAGACTAACTCAATGGGTTGTACCTGAAGTGACATCTAAATATCTAAGCAATACACAATCACCTTTTTTCTTCTTCCCATGTGGATGCAATTTCTTTTGATTGGCTATGGACCTGACTCAAGTAATCCTGTAGCATTCCTTAGCTCAATGTGATTTTTATAGTATCTTCCATAAGGAATACATGGAGAATCTCCCCAGTGCTAGGAAATCCCTCTTCTTTAGAGCCCTCTACTGACTGTATTGTTCACTTGAGATTGATACTTAGTAGATCACTGAATAAAGTTATCTCCACAACTTCAGTTATCTCCATAGTTACATTTGTCATTAATATATGTAATAGTGGTCCCTTATTCAGGGGAAATATTTAACATAGATCACTAACACATGTGTCTATCAATTTAACTTAGTTGCAGAAATATTCAGGAAATATACATCACAAGCTATAGATCAAATCATCTTTATAATTTTGCAGGGCTTTACAGGAATGGAAGAAGGAAGGGAGGAAGAAAAAGAAAAGGAAAAAGTAAGGAAAAGTAAGAAAGAAAAGACTGGAAGGAAAAGCATTACAATACAATATTGCAAACATTAAACATTTGTATATGCAGAGTAATTACTATGTTAATAGAGAGGGACAGAACATTTGCATAAGAGAAATAATGTCTGGCTAACTTCTAGCAAACAATCAGCTTAGTAGCTTATGAAGAATTTGAATTCTAATGTTATAATTTTTAAAACTTAAGGGCTATCTCACTCTATGGGAAATCCTAGTATGTATGGACGTACGTATGTATGTATATGTGTATGTGCGCATATGTATGTGCACAGTTTTTTTTTTAGGTGGAAAACTTTAATTATATTTAATCTTTTGTTCCTACAGTTTTCTGGGGAGTCTTTCAAAACTTTTCCCTGAGAATGGCAGTGCATACCTGCAATTTCTGCTCCTAAGGAAGGCTAAGATTGGTGGATCTTTTGGTAGCTGTGAACAGAAGTATGGCTAAAGTCAATCTGAAGTCTATGCTAAGTCTAGCTCCAGTAAGGTGAGTTCACACTGTCTGTGAAGGTCCAAATTCACCAACTGCTTTTGAAAAAGCAGAAATAGAAATTCCAACCATTTGATTTTTAAATATTTTGTAGAATTTTATATGTAGATTGAAGAATCTAAAATTCAAGAAACTAATGTACTCCCATGTTCTATACATAAAATACAAATCCAGAAGCCAGAAAATGTTTCCGAAACTTTAAAAGACTTAATTAAATAGGTCTTGGCTATACCTTTTCCCAAATTAACAATCAATGTAAAACACTAGCCTCCAGGTGCCCTGAACAGTATAAGAAAGAAAATCCTTCAACTATAAAACCTAATAGAATTGAATGAAATAGATGTCCTTCAAGGCTATCTGCACAATTCCAAAAATACATTTAGGAATGATCCAGACCCAGAATAACAATGTTGAAACTATTTGCATTTTGAAACCCCTTTTAAGTCAATAAATAAGAATTAGCTAGGAAATTTATGGTAGCAGTGTTCATTCTTTTATTGTGGGACTAAAATAAGTTGTGGTAAGCCAAGCAAGGGGTTTTGCTGAACTCAATTCAGCAAAAATTTAAGTGCTTTATGTCTGCAAGGCAATGTGTAATGCATTAAACTCTGGGGACAGAAAGACAAAAACAAACCAGTTTTTGTTTTTTCCCCTCAAGGAGTTTACATTCTAGCAAGGAAGAGAAAACATATATGTAGGAGAAGTTAATAAAATTTATGTGCAAAACAAATACAAATTAATTATGGAGGGAAAAGTACTAATAAATGAGGGAATCAGAAAAGTACTAGGAGGCAGGGAGGAGGGAGAGTGTTCCAGGGAGGGGGACAATGTGGACAAAGGCTCTTAGTTGTTGGAGAGAGAATAGAGTACAGGGAACATGCAGTGGGCCACTGGCTAAACTGTAAAGTACCCCAGGGAGAATAATGTGAAATCAATGTAAAACAGGCAAAGAAACCAACACAACAAAGACAATAGTCTTTCTTAGACCACTTTTGAACACTTGAAGTTTCTTACCTTTGTTTTTGGCTCTAGAATTTTTACCCCATAAATTGATATTTGTAATTCAACTTTAGGAGTTTTCTGGCCTTCAGATTTCTTGATATGTCTTGCAAACTAAAAAGTGAAAAGAAATGAAAATGATTTTATTTTTATTTTTAAGGGAGTCAAAACATCAGCATCTAAGCATTTCAAGTCTGTAATTTAAGTTTTGTGTTTTTTTTTTTCAATCTTTTTCAACCAAAGGACTCTATTTACATGATGGCTTTGCTGGCTGTTTACACATTTTTTTATATTCTTATTTGTACCCAAATACAAAACAAGTAATAATCATTTTGTTAATTCTATATAGCAGATCAAATTGAAAGGAACGGCACACATATAAACATTCCCATCTCTGACTGAGTCATTCCTCAATTGATAAATGATTGAAGGTGATTTTCTATATGCTAAATCACAATCACTGCAAAGCAAGAGAAATGATTATTAAATAACAAATTATTGGCGAGACCCTTGACCTTTCCCAAAAATTTACTCTACCAAAACTATCTTATCCAGGTGGAGTTGTTTCCCCATCCAACTAGAAAACCTTACAAAGAATTAATCTAAGGTGAATTCTGGCCCATTGTGCACCACTCAGGCAGTTTGGGGGGAAAGGGGCGGTGGTAGATCCTTTGTCTATATTACCAAAGGTTGGGGGTTATTTAGAAGTAAATGACATGATCAAAATCACATCCCTCGGCCCCTCATTAGAACAAGTCCACCTCTCATTATAATATTCATTTTTATCATTAATTATTAACCAATTAGAGTTGTTTGCCATCCTCAGGAACACCCACTCTTCCAAGGGCACATAAACACTCAGTAGGTTCCATGAGGGGGATCTTTAGCATTCCAGAGAGTCACTGACCCCTTTTATTACTTATATGCTAGCATGATTAATAAAATGATTAATTACCCAGAAACTATTCCTCAAACTTTTTATACATCATAACAGAATCTTTCAAACTCCCAATAAGGTAAATAAAAACTATTATTAATATTCCCACAATACATATGAGGAAACTGAGCTACTAAGAATCTCTTTCTTAATGTTCAGAATGAGAAGTGAAAAAGATCAATATATTTTTCCATGATTTTGATCTTTTTGGTCCCTATAGAACACCAGATGCTCACTGCCTAAGGAAAAGACATTTACAATTTTACCATTATGAAGGGTATCAATTATTTTAGGGGAGAAATCAGGATGCCAGGTCTTTGTGTCAACCACCCCACACCACTTAATAAAACATATCACCATAGCTAGAATGAAAGGGAGGAGAAGGGAAATGATTAGCATTATATAGTAAATATGAGATCAATGTTAGCTGTCATTATTATATTGACAGGAATGGGGGGGAATGATTACCATTATGGTTTAGGTTAAACATCTAGATTACTTGATCCACTGACTTTGGGCTACTCAGAACTAATTTTAATAATAATTAATAGTGTTGATTTCCCTTCTGAACCCCTGGCTCATCTACACTGTAATGGAAACAGCCCTGGACTTGGAGTAAAGAGACCAGGGTTTGAATCCCAGGTTAGACACTTTTTACAAGTGTCACTAAATATTCTTGGGCCTTTGTTTCTTCATCTGCAAAATGTGAAGGTTAAAGACTGAATGGTTTATGAGATCCTGTCTTGTACTAGATCTATGATCCTACAACCCTGTAACTACGAGGAAGTCACTTAATCTTGTTAAGCCTTGGTTTCCTTGCCAGCAAAATTAAGAAAATTCTTAACTATTTATGACCCTGGCTTTTTTGCAGAAAATGTTTCTGAAACTGTGAATAACAAAAAAATTGTCATTATTATTGTTATTACACCCTGCAAATATTGGGCATTTTATAACATTCTGATATTGATAATGGCAGCTGAATTAAAGAAAACATTTCCAAAAGCACTAATATTTTTCACATTCCAGTGCTCCAAGATCTGTTAGTTAGCATTCCTAACTTTTCATCAAAGTAGTAAGGCCAGGGTGAAATCTGTAGGTTCTTCTCTATTATAAAACAATCAGCAATCGTCATGCATGGAGTAGCTTGTTTTTCAATTCTTTTTTTTTTTTTCTCAGTCTTGTCAGAGTCCTCCTGACCCCATCTGAGTTTTCTTGGCAAAGATGCTGGAGTGGTTTGCCATTTCCTTCTTCAGCTTATTTTACAGATGAGAAGGCAAAGAGGGTTAAATGACTTGCCCAGGGTGACACAGATGGTGTCTGAGGCCAGATTTGAACTCAGGAAGATGAGTCTGCCTGACTCCAGACCCAGCGCTCTGTCCAATGTGCCACCTAGCTGCTCCTTTTTTCCCACAGACAGAAATAATACCACTAAAAGGGAAGCAGCTTTTACTCCTTTTTAGAGTCTTCAGGATAGCTTTCTTTTTCTTTTTTTTTTTCCCCTAGAACAGATCAATGATTTCATCAGTGTAGAGAACTCCTGATGAGGAACTCCCACCATAATGCAAAGCTGTACATTCTCCTGGGACACTGTGAGGGTGTTATTTGCCCAAGGTCATACGGGCAGGATAATTCAGAGGCAGAACTTAGACACTAGGTCTTCCTGACTCCCAGGAGAGCTCTCTGTCCATCATGCTGCCTCTCCTTCTGGAGATTTCCTGGTAATAGGATAGGGATAGAAGCTGAACCTGGGAACTCAACCATCTTGGATGTGGCAATGCCCTTTACCCAAGAAGACTGGCATGTGCTTTGCAACTTATGGTCTTAGAATAACAATCATAATCATAATACAATAAAGTAGTTGTCATTTATACAGTTCTTACTAGGTGCCAGGCACTGTGTTAAGAAGTGCTTTACAACTATTTTCTTATTTGATCCTCACAACAACCCTGGGAGATATTTACTATTATTTATCCCCATTTTGCCAATTAAAAAACTGAGGCAAACAGAGATTACGTGACTTGCCTAGGGTCATGCAGCTGGTCAGTGTCTTAGGTTACATTTGAAATTAAGTCTTCCTAACTCTAGGCCCAACAGTCTAGTTCTCTAGTGTGTGTTTATGTGTGTGTGTGTTTTGTGTGTGTGTATATATATACACACACATACATACACACATATATATGTATATACATATATATGCACACATATATGTGCTATATAAAAATATATATACTATATATAGTTATGTGTGTTTACATACATACACATAAACATACACAATTTCACAACTCTTTGAAGTATGTAATAACCATTTTGT